GGGTACAGGGCGACCGGCTCCTTTGAGTTAAAGCACTGTGTTTTTAAAATGTCCCTACTAAAACGATGCTACTCTAAGAGTGTCCTTTTAACCCTCTTAGTACCCAGGAGTGCATTTGCAGAGAAGGGATACAGGCCTATAAAACATTCAGGGACACAGAAAAGTGACTTGAGGACCAGGAGGCCAAACTTTAGAAATCCAGAGATCCCTAAGAACAAGCCTCCTGACTCAGTTGCTTACGGGTATGTAACTGAATTGGGGGCAGCGCGTCGAGTCCGGCGGGGCTTGGTTTCCCCACCTAGTGAAGAGGAGCAAAGCCAGAGCCTTACAGGGCCTCGTGGGAGGAGGCACACCGCTGCAGTGCATAGGCACTTCTGTCTGGGAAATGATACATGGCTCTGAGTGAAAAATGGGAAGAAACAAGCTCGTGGCGAAGGAGCACCAGAGAAGCCGGCACTTTCTCACTGTCTCCTTCTGCTGAGTCCAGGCTTGATGAGCAAAATTTACCAAGCGCTCCCTCTGCTGTCCGTCCTTACACTCACCTTCCTGCATCAAACACGATGTGCCCGCAGTCCTGAGTCCGAGGCTTGGAATGTGCCCGTGGCCTAATTTAATCAGTGGAGTCCTGTTCGCAGGTTGCTAACATTACTTCTTGAAAACCTCCTTTCCTCTCCATTCTGTTGTTCCCTCCCTAACTTCATGCCTTTTGTCTCAGGCCCGTGTCGGCCCTCCCACCACCAAAATCCCTCATGGTGTGTGGTGCGTCATGCTCAGGAAACCTTAATCTTTTATCTGTAAAAGTTTTCCCTGAGGTTCAAGTCACTAAAATAACAGAGCTAAAGCTGGAAAACAAAACTTCTAGGTCCAAAGTTCATCCTTTTTCCACATTCCCATCTCGCTCTGAAGTGTGTGACCTTAGACATAACATTTAACTTTTCTAAGCTGCTTTTTCCTTGTCTGGGAAATGGAGGAAAGAACCGTATTAATCCCATGACTGGTGAGAAGAGAAAGGGAGATAAGGCAGGAGAGCAAAGGAGAGGCAACAACAGAGAGAGTGTGACCAACACTTGCTATGATCTTCCAGCACGATGCAAGTTCAGTGCTCAGAGTGGAAACCGAACGTAAAAACAGATAAGACTGGAAAGGTAAACAGGAGTCCAGTCCAGAAAAGCCCTGGAAAATATGGCCCCACAGTCACTTGGTGCAGGCTGCCTCGAGGATTACATGAGCTTACAGAGGTCAACAGTCAGGCTCCCAGCAAGGCCACGTGTTAGGTATTCCTGATAAAACTCTCCTGCTGCTAGTCACAACTTGAAAACGCAAGCAGGGAAATTTATAAGCAGGACAGCCTTGAGTTGATGAGTTAAGGAATAGTGGTTTGGGAGGGAAGAAAGACTTAGAAAAAAAGAACATCAGGAAAGAGAAGTGAAGCCTCACATCAACCCTGTAACACTGGCCTTTGAATCTTAACAAATGACACCACTTCATGTGCACACCCATGCACACACACAGCTCTCTCATCAGAGACAAGCCACTCTCATACTGGCTCCCTTTTAAGTCATACCTCCCCTGAGCAACCCACTGGCTCTGCCCCGTGGTGGAGCCACGAGGGCATCCCCCTGCATCAGTGTAACCTTTTGACTTACTCTGGGGGCTACTGGTTTGTCTTCATTGCTTTAGTTACTCAATTGGAGAGCCCAGGGTTTTGACAATATATTTAATACGTTCCTCCTGTACTGATCTTTTTAAAGAGAAAAAAAAAATTCTTGAAGAGTCTGAAAATGTGGTCAAGAGACCTGCACACCCTAAGTTTGAGAAATGCTTCATAAACAAAACCTTATTCAATTAAAATATATTTCAAAGATGGATTAACACTATAAAAGAGTTGTTTTTACAACTGGTAAAAATAACTTTATTATTAATGAAAACACTAAGTTAAAACTTTCTCTTCAAACTAGCAAACCCTAGAAAATACATCCAAGTTCATTTTAATTATAAGCAGTTTGTCCCAAAAGACCTATAATTATTAAATCCTTCGGTTTCTTTCCTTACTTAGGCTGCTTGACATTATGGAAATTTTAAAATAACTTAATACTTACTACACTGTAATTTCATACAAGCTCCTAACCATTTGATGTATGCCCTCCAGATGAATCTTCCAAACCTTACACTTCATCGCCAGGCTATGTTACTTTCTTCTGGTTATCCTGTATCACCCCCTAGCGTCATATATGTTGCTTGCAGCCAAAACATGATGACAAATCTCTGCCATGTTGAAGGAATGAGTATCTGTAAATAACTACTTTCTTGATTCACAGATTAGGTTCCCAAAGAATATACATAAACCCATCAGGTTCCAAGGCCAAAGTTACTATATACTTGCGTGCTGTGCTTAGCCATTCAGTCGTGTCCGACTCTTTGTGACCCCATGGACTGTACCCCACCAGGCTCCTCTGTCCATGGGATTCTCCAGGCAAGAATACTGGAGTGGGTTGCCATGCCCTCCTCCAGGGCATCTTCCCAACCCAGGGATCAAACCCCAGGTCTCCAACATTGCAAGCGGATTCTTTACCAGGTGAGCTACCAGGGAAGCTAAACCTTCAAAAACATCTAGAGAACTAAGTGACCATACCATGCCACCTCATGAAATCTGTTCCCAAAGTCACAAAACAAATGGTGAATATAGTGATATACACTCAACAATGATTACTCCTGTTTTCCCCTGCTGACATTTCTAGAGATATATCAGTGTTAAATGCCAGTCCAGGAAAATGGAGCAGCAGGCTTCAGTAACAGAGAACAAAACCATAGACAGAGCAATGGCTCTAGTCTCTTAAAAAGTTAATTTTCTAGAAAATGATTAGCATCTATTACGTCTTGAGCTGCTGAAATATTTCTGGGTATTTTTTTAGTTTTTGCTTCATAGAATTATTATTTAAAAACTAACCAATTAACATATTTTCTAGCTTATGACGACTCCAACTTGCTGGGTCTTCTTGTCCCTTGGCACTGACTTTGTAGAACTTACCAGTTCCCCCTATCTCCTCCTGGCTCTTCAGTTAATTGTTCAGTATGCTCCCCAGGAACATCTTCAGAGCCATCCTCACCTACTTAGCTAGTATTTCCTATCTTCATCAGTGGCCCAGAAATGCTAAAAAATTATGCACATATTTTTTTTTCTGTTTAATGATATAAATGTCCCTCTTTGTTTCTAGCAATGCTTTCCTGCCTCAAAGTCCACCTTGTTAAATAATAATACTGCTTTCACCTCATGGATTAGTGTTTGCAGGTTGTAACTTTATCCTTTTACTTTAAACCTCTCTGCATCTTTATGTTTTTAATGTTTCTGTATCGTTAAATTTTATCATTTATATCTGATTCTTTAGGTCTTTATTATTATTTTTTTTAATAGTCTCGCTTCTTTATTTTTTTTTAAAAAACCTTGTTATTGCATATACAGGAAACAGAAAAGAACTGCCAGAGGGACAATATGAATCCTGCTACAGAACTTAGATAAAATAAATTCATTTTTGGTATCTTCCCCATCCCTTCCTTTTAAGTCATCCCCCTTGGGGTTGTCAATGATCTAGGAAAAGATAAGGGGTCATATTTTCTCTCTAAAAGCAAGCATTCAAAAATAAAACCCACAAATACATTACTGTGGAACATGCAAGAGACCTAGAGCTCTTAAAACATCACAAGAATTATTAAAAAGACACAGATTTCCTTAATAGAGACTAAACAAGGATGGCAGAGACTTCCCTCCCCAAACAATGCTGCCCAGTAATTTATTTAGAACTGATAAGCATGTCACTAGAAAGTTTTTAATCTTCAGGAACAGAATCATGTTAATGTATCCATTTGTCCCCAGTATTTTTTTTTCAATTTTGTGTTTCCACTTGGGACGGTGAAGGAAAAACACACACACACACACACATATATATATAGATCTTCACTGGGGGAGAAACTTATCAACACCTCCCCTCCTGGGGCCTGGCTACCTCGGATCTTCCCACAGCTTCCAGACCAGCCCCCAAGGAGGTGCGCTGGCCGCTAAGGCTTGAACTCCTACCCCCAACAGCTCAATGCAACTGGGACGTTTCTGAGCCAGATCCCGGATGTATAAACCACAGCCAAGAAGACAGGGCCTGTTTCTACCACATTCTCTTTAGGGAGTCCAGCACCCCTTTCCCAGACAGGGCTGCACAAAAAAGGGCTGACCTCACTGCACGCCCCGCGGTTTATGTGACATCCAACAAAGTGCACTGCAGACTGGATTGGACTGGAATGAAGAGACTTTTCTGGGGAGGGGTTTACGGGGAGGCGCTGCGGGACCTGTCGGGCTTGGCTTCCAGGCCAATGAGCAACCGCTGGATGTTCTGCAGTTCGCTGGTGGCCGCCTCCTTCTCTGGGCAGAGCTTGGGCGACAAGGACACGGAGCTGGAGGAGAGCGTGGAGGAGCGGCTGTTGAGTTCCGAGCCCGAGTCCACGGCCACCGAGGCCGGGCTGGCGGCCAGGGCGGCGGCCTTGCCGTCGAGGGGGCCCGCGGCGGCGGCGGCGGCCATGGACGGCAGGGCGGTGGTGAGCAGGCCGCTGCTGTCGGGCACCGGCACGGGGATGAAGTAGGGGCTGTAGCGCAGCCGCGGGCACATGGTGTTCAGGTTCAGAAAAGGGTGGCGGTGCACGGAGCTGGAGGCCGCCGCCGAGGAGGCGGCCATGTACGTGTAAGGATAAGCAAACAGGCTTCCGAAAGGCGACATGGCCAGGCCCTGAGAGGCCAGAACGTGCTGCTGGAGATGGAAGGGCAGGGTGGCCGACGCCCCCGACAGTCCCTGCGCCGCGGCAGCCGAGGCCATGGCCGTGGAATCCAGGCCCGAGACGCCGGTGGAGGCCCTGGACACGGTGGCCAGTAGGGGCCCCATGCCGGCCGCCATGCTGGAGAAGGCGCCCCCCATGGCGAACTGGCCGGGGTGCAGGAAGAGCGGGTGCCCATTGAAGAAATGCTGGCCGGCCAGGCCAGGGGCGAAGCCGAGGCCCGGAAGGGGGCCCTGGCCCAGGTGTGCGGCGGCCGGGTTCGTCTGCACGGTGAGCGGCGCGAAGGCCTCCTTGCCCGGCAGCGCGCGCGCCTCCTCCGCGGCCTTGGACGTGGCCGCGCTCTCGCGGCCCGGGCTCCGGCGCTCCTCGGCGCCCAGGCCGCGGGTGCTGGACGAGATGGTGGCCGGGCTGTGACGCGAGTCGGGCGATGCCTTGTCAAGCCGCCCGCTGTCCCGGGGCCGCCCGCCGGGCTCGGCCGCGAAGAGGTGTGCCTTGTAGGTCTTTCTTTAATTTTTTCCTATTCCTTTTAATTGCTTTTTAATTCTATTTCCACTGTGTTGTTAGTTATACATTATTTTCTATCCATTAAATGATTCCAGAGATTACAACATATACTTGATTTGTAGTTTGACCTCTTGCCAAACGATCCAAGAACCTTGGAACATTTTATTACTGTTTATCCTTTCTCAACCTATATGCTGTTGCTATATTTTTAGTATTACCCCAAACTTATTAGTGCAGTCTATATTTACTTATACAGTCTATATTCACTTGTATTTACTTACCTATTTCCCCTTTTTTGCTGACTCTCGTTATTTCTTGCATCTTCTTCTCACTTTCTGTCCAATAGGTGGACCTGCAATCATAAACTCTGTCTTGTTTGAAATTGTCTTTCTTTCACCTTCGTATTTTAAGAATACAGCCACTGAGTATAGAATTTGAAGAAATTTGAAGATACAGATCTATCGTCTTGCAGAGTCTGTTGTTAAGAAGTCAGCTGCCTTAGTGCTGCTTCGTTTCTGCTGCTGCTGCTAAGTCGCTTCAGTTGTGTCCGACTCTGTGCAGCCCCATGGACGGCAGCCACCAGGCTCCCCCATCCCTGGGATTCTCCAGGCAAGAACACTGGAGTGGGTTGCCATTGCCTTCTCCACCATTTTTGCTACTAGCGCTTTTAAGATACTCCTTTTGTCTTTAGTATTCATAATACTATGAAATTCTTAGGTGTGACTGTCTTTGTGTTTATTTTGCCTAAGGCTTACAGGGAGATTCTTGAATCTGTGGCTTGATATATTTTTATTGATTTGGGAAAATTCTTATCCATTATCATCCCTCCTCTTTCTCCTTTTGGAACTTGCTACACACGTATTAGAACTCTTCATTTTAGCTCCTGTCTCTTATACTTTTTTGTTCCTTTCCCTTGTTTTTGGTGCTCCTGGATATGTTTTTGATTTTTCTAGCCACTGATTCTGTCCCAACCTGTATATAATTTTTTGGTAAATTCATCTATGGAGTTCTAATTTTAGCTAGTAAAATTTTCAGTACAAGAATTGTCTTATTTTCAGTTATGATCTTCTTAGTCTTGTCTTTTATTACCTTGTTCACATTAAGTAGTTACTTTTAAGTTAGTATCTGCAACTCTACTGTTTGGATACCCTCTGGATCTGTTCCCACTGTCTATTGTTTGTCTTGGTTTTTTGAATCAAACCCTCATTTCCTTGTACACTTGGTTGTTTTTACTTGCATTCCAGGTATCATACATTAAAAAGCATAGAGATAATTTGAAGTTCAGAATATCTTTTCTTTTTCCAGAGAATATTTACATTTGCTTCCTATAGGCAGCTAAGGCAATTCTAAATTAACTAATCCAATCATGGATTAAGATGATTCAGAGCTCATCTGGCTAGTTTATTTCTTGCTGTCTTCTACTCCCAGTGTGTAGCCTGCTGGAGTTTTACTCCATACTGGGATCTCATCCAATCAAAGGAAGAACCTGGGCAACTTCAGGAAATCTTCAGAGGCAGAAATTCATGATCTGCCTTTACTTCCACTAAGAGACTCAGTTCCAAACAAACCTGTGTCTGACTGCGCAATTTACAAATTCCCAGAAGAAATCAGATTTGATCAGTTGTATCAGTTTGTATCATGTGACCAAGGGAGAGGATCCTGCTGTTGATAACCCCACCCTAAACAAATGGAAAGCAGGCAAGTTGCTCAAAGGAAAAGATTTGGGAAGACAAAAATGTTTTATTACAGAACATTAGGAAGAGGGAATCGGAGAGAGATGGCAACAGACAGGGAACAATTTTGGAGGAAAATATGATTTCCGCTCTAGATATGTCAAAACAGATTACTGTGAAACATCTGATTTGATCAGGGCCACAACAGGAAGCAGAAGGGACTCTATAATGGGGTAACTGAGGAGAGCTGAACAAAACAACTAAGGTCAACAACTTGGGTGGGGTTAAGGGAAAGCAACAAAGGATGAAGCCTCCCAGGAGAAGTTAACAAGGGGAGGAGTCATTACTACACTAGGCCTCCAGCAATAAGGGGGAGAGAGTAGGTACTAAATCTCCAAGCAGCTGTAAATACAGGGAAGAGCCACTGAAGAGGGCTGAAGCCTTCAGCAGGATGGTCTACCTGAAGCAACTCTGCAAGGAGGAACCGGGGAAATAAACATCATGACTCCCCTTTCTTCTCGTCGGCCAAGTCTTCTGCTGTTGCCTCCTATTTACTGAGCCTAACCAGAAGGCAGAGAACAAGTAAACACACTGCTACAGCCTGTGAGGAAGAGAATCTCCTGAAGCAGAACTGGGTGGCAAAGATGATGTATCTGGAGAGATTCTCTTTTCTGCTTGTTGCTTCAGTGGCACAAAGAACTCAAAATGATCAAAGAACTGCCTCAAGACTTCAATTTAAATAGAACTAAGACTGTGTTCCCTGGAAGAATATTTCTTCCTCAGGCACTAAGACCTTGAAACCCATAAAATTCAAGGTCACGAAGCAAGAGAAACAAAAAATGCCTTCAGCGGGTCAACTGTTGTAATTCTCAGTGGCGTGAGTTCCACTTCAATCCACTGACTGACCCATGCATCCTGTAAGGGAGAAAGCACCGTATACTGTTAGATTTAAGGCATATACTGTATCTTGTACAACAGTGCCTAGCCTCACAGAAAGTTAACTCCCAGCTGGTGCTATAACTGAGCATTTGGCAAACCATCAAAAGTCTATTAAGCAAACTATCTCTAGGTAATGGGGCACATGGTAAAACACATGACTTCCATGCGTGCGAGTCAGTTGCAGCAATTCCTTCCCTTTCTTCACTGTCAGAGACACCGTATAGGTATCACAGTGATGAATTAGGTGTTCTCAAAGCCGATCTACACTGATGCTGGGCAGACATGTAGGCAACAAAGACAAATCCATACCCATAATACCTGTCTATCTCTAAGACAAACTGCGGACATTGCACGATGGAAGTCATCCGGTATAATCACTTGTCCAAGCGGCACCCCTAGGGAATGGTGACTGTCATTTTAGCTCAGCATTGGCCTCTTGCTGCAGTGTGCCACTGAGCAGAGCCAACAGCCAGGTCATCCTTGACAAGGGGAGGTACATCTTTTTGAGCTCACACACAGGCTCAATCCCCGCTATCGTGATTGTTTTGTTCATAGGCTACTGAACAAGCCCCAAGGTAGCTGGTGAAAACTGCTGACATCCACAGAACGGGCTATCTTATTTATCTGCTTAGTGAAAACAATATCCATAGTGAATGCTTTTTGTAGGCATTCACATAGGATCTAAATATCAAGATATATCTACAAACTTATCCCTGCAACATCCTTGTCACCAGTGTTTTTTAACTCTTGGACCAGCTGCTAACCGAGCTGGTTAAGTCTAAGATGTGGAGCAGGTTTAAGTTGTGGTCCAAATCACTCTTGACATTTAAGCTTCTACAACCTAGCAAAGTGAACATTCCATTCTAGAAGTCTGCTGCACACATCTGATTTTATAATTTTACAGAACACATAACAGATGGGCAGTTTCAGATGCATAGAAACTTTATGTTCAGGCATCCTACCAGTAGCAAACAAGAGCTACTTTCCCAATGAATAATAGATGGTAGAAATCTCTAGCTCCAAACCCTATTGCATGTGATTCTTCTTTTGGAGCATCACTGAGCAGCTCTACCACTGGCATGTGAAGGTCACAGATGAAATGGCAGAATAACTTGGACAATGACTTGGACCTTTATCAAAATCCTTTCTCCAGTCTCCACTCAAAATGGACTGCCTTACAGGTTTCTCAGTAAATGGGACAGGTAAGCACTCAAATGTGACTTGTTTTGCCCTCCAAATCCAAACAAGTCCAATAAATATTATGCTTTCTTAAATAGGGGTGGTCTAAAGTGAAGAGACTTGCTCATCACTTAAGACAGCCAGTGTTATCTCAATTACCATACACATGTCAAAGGCATGTAAGGTTCACAATACTTTCTGATTTCACTTTGGTCCAGTTATTTCATCAGTGTAATGGAGTACTACGACCCGTTTGAGACACCAACATGATCAAGATCCATCAGAACTATGACAGAATGTGAACTGTTAGCCTTGAAGTAAAGAATGTATACTGCTCTCCCGGTAATGTGAAGGCAAATTCTGATTACTTTGCATATAGAGATGAGGGGAAACATTTGTCAGGTTAATACCACACCAGGGTCAGAGGTGTTCCTTTCCTCCAATATAGTACTACATTTTTTATCAGAGCAGAGATTGATTATGACCAAGAACACTGCTCATGACAATTTCAGTTGTTCGGTGATTATCATTCATCAGATTCCTCATGTATTCCTTTTACTATCTTGGGGTGTGTGTGAGGTGCATGGGGAGTGGAGGAGCAGAGGACTACAATTCTAGGTTTCTACTTGACCTTTCCAAACCTAACAGCCATCCCTCCATTGGCCAAGGAATGAAAGAAAGGACTTCACCAGTTACTAAGTATACTTAGTCCCATCCTACATTCTGGGAATGAGATAAAAACCTTAGGGTGGGAGGCAGCATTCCACATACCCAATTATGATTTGACCCAAGATACCATCTGACTTCCATAAGCTCATATTCTGACCATGGTCAACGGCTTTCAGATTTCCACAATTTACAGCTGGTACTTGTAGCCTAGTTGTAATGTTCTACAGTGAGTTACAATTTACAAGGTGGTTTGAGGGACAGATTTAAATTAGGGACAAATGTTAAATTAGGTAAGTTAATAACTTAAGTTTGATGTTACAGATACTTGACCTTAATTATAGCCAATCTGATTCCTGAGAATTTTTCCAGTCATGTATAGTTCTGATGAGACTGTCTACTAAGATGCCAAGGGTCAGAAATGCAACCCGTTAAGCCACTTAGTACTCTCTTCAGGTTTTTGACTTCTGAATAATGCCCAAAAGACATTAATATTTTGCCTCAGTTCCTCCACTGCTGTGAAAACTGCCTTAGTTTCTTCATCTTACAATCCTAGTCCTTTTCTTCTTGCCTGTGAAGCACTCAATTATCCTCCAATAAATATCCCCTTTGCTTTAGTTAGTTCAAGTCAGTCTCTTACAATCAAAAAATTTAAAACTTAAACAGGTAGGAATTGGGGCAGCTCTGTAATCTTGGCAGGAGTCCATGAACTTTTTCCAAAGCTCAGTGCTTTACCTTAGCATTATTTGTTATCATTTTATTCAGATTCTCTAAAAAGCAATGATGGCTCCACTTGGCTGATCATGTGTCCAGCCCTTTTCAATAGTGCTTAGGGAAATTCTTTCATGATTCATGTGCAAAAGCAGCCAAACTGTAACTTGTTTTCTCCAGATTGGAGTAAGCTAAAGTGACTAATGTACAATTAGAAAATACTAAGCGAAGCTCCTGAAAGTTATTATTACTTGATCCTAATACACATGTCCTAGAACTTAACCCTTGACAGACTGACATGACTTCATACAGGTAACACAACCACAGGTAGACACAATGCAGTAGAGTAAAACACATCTTCTCCTTACAGGAAACACACAAAAAGCCCCAAGAATTTTAACTGTAGTGTGCTCCAGATTATGGGCATGCCATATGGTTGTATGCAGGCAGACACACCCCCACACCCACAAACCGAGCATGTTAGCTTCCTGTATCAAAAAATCTTGCTTTAGCCCCTCTATCCCCCTTGCATCAAACATACCTTGTAACACTTCCTGGTTCCCCAACACCATAACTCACTCTTCTGTCACAAGCAGTTTCCCTCTTGATTCCACCTGAAGGGAGATATGCTGGAGATACAGCACCACTATCTCCAAACTTGGCACACACTCTCTCCAATATCCACACCGTTATTGAGTGTTCTGAGGCAAAACTGACCTAACTTGTTGAGGGGAAAACCACTATATCCTTCCACAGGTGAGAAAACTGAAGAAAGAGTAAACATGTCCAAAGGTCACTAGCTAGAAAGAAATTTAAATCTCTACTACTGACTCTAGAACCCATCTTTTTAACCACTATGATACACTTTCTTGTTTTTGTCTTTTCTAATTTTGTTGTTTCCAAATAAATTTTGGGAATGTGCTCCAGAGTTCAGGTAAAGAAAAATTAGATTAAGACTGAAATTGCCTTATATAATTACCTTGGAACACTTTTACCACATAGTTTTCCAAACCAGAGCTGACTGTAGCGTGACATTAACTTGACCCCTGACTCATTTTGACTCCTGTATCCCAAAACATATGATCAATGTTTCCCTTTCCTGTTGTTCAATTTTGGCCCAAAGCACTATCAACAAAATGGCTTTTAGTTTTTCAGAGGAAGATAGTTAACATGAATCACAACTTTCCTCCCCAAATTCATTCTCAGCCCAGTTTTAGGTTCCAAAATTATCTCTAGTACTCTCTCTTACTGATAATCCTTTAAAACAAAGCTCAAGTATCCCCAGCTCTCACCACACTCAAAACAAAACATGCAGTTAGCTGTGTTCGTGTTTCTGGCAACCTGTATACATGAACAGTATTTAGGGTACAATCAGATGGCCTGTAAACTAGAATCTAATGAGGAACACAAGCATTAGTCTTTATATCCTGATGCAAAGTCAATTAAACAACTTAAAAGGCTGAGAAAACTATAGAAACAAGCTAGAGGGTGGGGAAGCAGATTAAGGGACACACTCCTGAGCTCATAAAACACAAGGCAGAGTATAGTGATAAAGCAAGCATCAGGAGTCAAAAACCTAAATTTCAGCCCTACCCCCACCAGCTGCCTCCTATAGTCTTGGAAAAGTCACTTTTAAGCTACAAAAATATTTACTATTTCAACAGCCTTCTAGTTGGTCTCTATCTCCCAACTATCATCAAAAAAAACCAAAAACCCCACAAATGTATCCAGGAATATCAGCTCTGGAGTCAAGAATGCATGACTGTTGAAATACCAGCTTCATGATTCACAAGTCATATAACTTTGTCATGTGTAAATGAAGTTATTATCTACACTTCATTAACTTGTCATGATATTAAATGATACTCCTTGCTTAGAATACCCAGACACGACAAATGTTAAAATGTTACCTCACCACTTACAAAATTCTAATTCTCTACTACATACTTAATCACACCCAAATTCCAAATAAAATTAACACAAAAGCCTTCAGTTAAGACTCCAAATTAGAAATCCCAGCTTCCACCATATACTCCATTCCACTATCACGCACTGCTCAGCAAACTGAAGCAGAACAGGTTAACCATACACCTACCCAGGCAGTTTGGTGGAACTGGCGCCTCTTAACCACAGCCAATGAAGGCTTATTCACCTCCCTATGCTAATCCAAAATCCCATTCCTGAAGGTCAAACATTTCAAACAAGGGCAAGGTATGATCAGACAAAACACCACAAGTTAACAGGCAGTATATGTCATCTTAACCTTTAAAATATTAAAAAATATGTATTAACTGTGACTTAAAAGTTGCATTTTTGGGACCAATCTACCTCAAAAAAGTCTATCAAGAACAGACCTAGGCTCATAATCTTATGTCATGCATCATTTGACTACTGAAAAAGAAGCAACTGGATTACAACCCACCTCAGCATGCTTTCCCAAGAAAAATTTAAAGGATTTTAATTAAGTCCTTATTTTAGAAAGCAAAAATAATGCAATGCAAATAAGAATGTCTAACCAATCAACAAGCCAAAGTAATTTTATTACATAAATTAACCCATTTATTATAGGCTAGCAACATTATCAAATGGTGGTGCTTCTACTGGTCCTTCAATTCCTTCAGTCTTCTGATGGCAGACTTTACTGTGACAGCAGAAGTGGTGCTGTAAAGAAAAACAAATTTGGTTCCAAAACTAGTTAACATACAGAATGGCAAATGAGAATATGCCTCATTTTTACATTACAATCCTAACGATGACATCTACTGGCAATCTCATACATCTGACTTCTCACAGACAGTAGAGCATGAAATTAACAGGAAGGAAAGATTGGGAGAGGCTGACTAAACTCATTAAAAAGGAATGGACAGAATGTCAGAAGTAACTAATAAATTACAAGATGGTACAATGAGAGATATCAAGAAAACAATGTCTAAGGCGGCAGAGCTGACTAAAGCACACTGTGGAAGTGACAAAACAATGTTTTACTACAACACTCAGGCACTGTACCTGAAAAACATAACCACTCCATCTCATGTGGTAGATGAATGCTAATTCATTTATCCATCACAAACAAGAGCACTCTCCATTTTCCCTTTTGTCCACACACAACCCCAACAAGGTGCTTATATGTATATATATGTCCACATTATCATTTCAACATTTTCCAGTATTTTACAGTGTTTCAACTTTAACAAAAAACAAAAATTTCAATACACTAGCCCAATCATTTTACTATGTGACTAATGCACTGGACAGCAGGAGTTTACAAATTAGTTAAAGGGAAACCATGTCAGCCTTCAGGTTCAGCAATGAATCCCCACCTTAGAGGCCTTCAAGGATGGCTTGAATTTCCAGAATTGGATAAAGTCCAATATAATCAATAACCAACACAGTAGATATGTCTGCAATTATCACTTGGCCATTGTCAGTCACAAAGCTGAAGAAGCACAACCAATAGTTTAGAACAGCAAAGGTGTGTTGGCCAGATGGCCTCACATGTACAGCAATAAGCTAACTGACTTCTTAATTTTGACAAAAACAGCCTGCCATACAAGCGATGTTCACGAGTCAGCCCAACTAGCAGATCTGTTAAAAATAGCCCATCCAGCGACAAACCTGAATTTTGACATGGCCCACACACTTTCAAACACCTTAAAGAAATGGACTCACTTGTAGGTCCAGGCACCACCAGCTACTGTTTTCATGCAGGAACCACAGTGCCAAATGCCCACAGCTCTTCTCTTCATCTTGGTCTGTAAAAGATAATCGATTTTTCCCATGACCAAAGAAAAGCCTTTTATATTACAAACATCCAGGAGTCTAATAACACAAGGAAACCACAACTGGTGTACTTTGTGAGGTTATTTATATATATATATGTTTTTTTTCCTTCTAATTTCAGGGTCTCTGGTGCAAAATTTGCATTCACCATGGTGACACAGCCAAGGATGTAAACGACCCGCCCTCTTCCCCCCCACCTCCAAAAACAGTATTTCTACACACAGTGAACAAAAATCTCTAGCAACACCAGCAGACAAAAGTTGACAGAACCATGTTCCACAAGGAGGTTTGACTTCGGCTGGGGCTGTCAAATAATTTTTCCTCCTTTAGCTCCCAAATGGTTTTCTTTAAAGGAAAAGCGTTTGACAAAACCCGAAGATATAAACACTCTTATCTCAGAACTGGTCACCAACGGTGTGTGCAGCGAACTGCTCAACAACTTAGAAGAGGCAAACTATTTATAAACTTCCTTCACGAGAGGACCCGTTTCGGAAGGAAACCATCCCGCCCTCAGACCATCTTACTTTGCCACAGAAGGAGCAGGTATACTTGGCGTGCTGGCTGATTTCAATTTTCTTCACCATTTTCCTGAGGGAGGCACCATAACGGGTCCCGTATTTGCCCACGATTCCGACCTTCTTGGTGCGTTTCGCCTGTTAGGAACGAGTTAAGAGAGACAACAGAAATATTAGAACCCAGGAACGGGGACTTCGCCACTCCATCAAGTTCCGGCGCCTCCACACGCCATTCTTCCACCTGCCCACCTAGCTCTCCCCCTCCCACCCCATCCCCGTAAACCCAAGTGGGCCCGGCGGCACCCGGTGAACCCAGACTGGACGCGCCAGCCCCCCGCCAAACCGCTCCAATCTGCGTCCCAGAGGACAGGCGAGGGTACCCAGGCCAGGGCCACGGGACAGAGCGGGCGAGCAGAAGCAAGTTAGGGCAAAGAAACCAAAAAAGATGGAAGATGCAAGCGGATAGACGTTTAGGCCTCACCCTGACCAACACTCACCATGTTAACGCAACCTAGATCCGAGCCCAAAAGGAAGATGGGAAGTGCGCAGGCGCGGTTTTGGGCCGATAACAGGAAGTGGTGTATGGGAGGCCCATATAGGAACTGAACTCTATGGTCTGGAGGTTTTCTCGCTCCAGTGCCTTCAGGGTAGTTTGGCGAGAGGCGTCTCCGACAGGTTTACAGTGATTTACAAATTGTAGCCACAAACTGTAGCAGAAGCTCTTTCACACATCGACATTATCGTACATATATCTCACGAAATCCTGCAAAGGAGGTAAGATTTCCTCCATTTATAGACAAGATTCAGATTTTTAAGTAATTTGCTCACTCATTGGCACTTAAAGAGAAGTGCTTAAAATATGATTTCAGATCTCACTGCTTTCTACATTATGCCTTCTAAAAGCGGCAGGCCATGTGGTTGTGGGTAGTGGTTATGTTTAAACTGAGTTTTGTCTTTATATATTTCTGCATTTTCTAATTATCTCTTAAAATGAGTATGTATTTATAACTGGAAAAAAAAATTTAAGTCCATTAGAAATGTGTACACCTCGCACTCAGATCTTGGTTTCTAATATCATTCTACAATGAAAGGAGCCAGGATTCCTTGGAGAAATGACGATTCCAGGACTGCTGAAGGACATATGCAAGATGAGCCTGGAGTGTTGCTGTGCCAGAAAGTAAGGAAGTGCTTAAAAACCAAAACAAAAAACCCTACTGTGATGAAGCTATGTCAAAGAGACAAGTTAACCAACTGAAAGAACTCCCACAGGATAAGTCTGGAAATTTTTGAGCAAAAAAAATCAAGTTTTGTTGATTTTTAACCCAGAGTAGAAAATAAATGTCCATGAGCCCATGCGGATGTGAATAAATGATTGAATAAATAAATAAATGGAGGAGAAGAGGCAACTCACTCTTGCAGAAGAATTCTAAATAATTTATGTGGATTCTCTGCTCTCTAAGAAGGGGGATATAACTCCTCACTCCTTAACTGTGGGCTGTGTAGAGTGATTCCTTCCAAAGAGCACAATATGGGAAAGCGAGGAAAGAGTAACCACACAGTGGAGGAACCTGCCAAACACTAGCAAAGCCGGGTCAAGGTCAGTATCAACAGTTATAAATCATGGCGATAGTGTGCCCCTCTGATACGGTGCGATGACAGTAGTACTTTACTTTTGTGATCTTCCTCCAAACCCATAACCGAAGTCCAATCATGGAAAAAAAAATCAGACAAATGTGAGGTGTCCTACAAAATTAATATCATAAAAAAACAGAGAGTCAGAAATTGTCACAGTCAAGGGGAGCTTAAGGAGACATGAATGTAAACGTAAAATGGGATCCTGGAACAGAAAAAGACATTAGGTAAAAACTAAAGAGCTCTGAATAAACTGTGGACTTTAGTTAATAATAATGTATAAATATTGGTTCATTGGGGGCTTTCCAGATAGTGCTATTGGTAAAGAATCCACCTGCCAATGCATGAGACATAAGAGACGTGGGTTTAATCACTGGGTCAGGAAGATCCCGTGGAGGAGGGCGTGGCAACCCACTCCAGTATTCTTGCCTGGAAAATCCCATGCACAGAGGAGCTTGGCAAGTTCTGTCCATAGGGTCGCAAAGAGTCAGACATGACTGAAGTGACTTAGCATGCATGCACATATTGGTTCATTGATTATAATAAATGTACCATACTAATGTAAGATGTTAATAACAGAGGAAACTGGCTTTTTAAAAAGTATATGAGAACTGTGTACAATCTCTTAAATTTTTTTTTTAGGCCATGCTACACTGGCATTTGAGATCTTAGTTCCCCAGCCAAGGATCAGACTGGTGCCCCCTTCAGTCGGAGCATGAATTTTTTTTTTTCCTTCGCTTCACTAACAAAGATTTATTATTTTTGTCTTTCTTTTTAATTTAGTTATTTTTAATTGAAGGATAATTGTTGTATACTGTGTTGGTTTCTACCATATATCAACATAAATCAGCCATAGGTATACATATACCCACCCTCCCTCTTGAACCTTCCTTCCACCTCCCACTGGGAGCAAGAAGTCTTAACCACTGCCATGGAAGTTTCTCTTCATTTTAAAAAATATATGTACTTATTTATTTGGGTGTACCAGTCTTAGTTTCGGCATGTGGGATCTAGTTCCCTGACCAGAGATCAAACCTGGGCCTCCTGCACTGGGAGCATGGAGTCTTAGCCACTGGACCCAGGGAGGCCCCATTTTTTTTTTCTTTTTATAGAGCTTAAACTTTTCTAAAAAATAAAGTCTATTTGAAAAAAAAAAAAAAAACCCTGCAAGCCAAGATCGCCACAAGATCAAGTCCATGAAAACAGAGCCTCAGTTGTCCACCTTTGCGTCCCAGGACTGAGCACAGAGCCTGGTGTGACGGTCGTAATGGATACATGTTGCGTAGGGAAATGGTACCTTGCATGGTATAATGTTGATGATGAGTTTTTAAGGGGACTTTTATTTGTCTGGGCTTCTCTGCATTTCAAGGTCAATCCACTTATGTTAGAACTAAAAAAGGCTTTAATATAGCCCCAAGTGGAAACTGAGGTCCAGAGAGGTCCAGGTACTTGCCCAAGGTTATAGAGCTAATGAATGACTTCCAGACCAGTGCTCTTTCTACTGTGTCACAAGATTTGAGCTGTTTCCTCAGCTGCAAAATGAGTATACCATAACTTTTAAGGTTCTTAAAAAACGAAAGTGTTAGTCACTCAGTCATGTCCAACTTTTTGTGATCCCATGGACTGTATGTAGCCCGCCAGGCTCCTCTGTTCGTGGAATTTTCCAGGTAAGAATACTGGCGTGGGTAGCCATTCCCTTCTCCAGGAAATCTTCCAGACCCAGGGATCAAACCTGGGTCTCCTGCATTGGAGGCAGATTATTTACCGTCTGAGCCACTAGAGAAGCTTAAATAACTTCTATGAAGTGCCTAGTGAGCATTTCTGAATGATGGCTGTTGTTGTTGAGATGATGATAACCTGATTTCAATATCTCTTGATGCTTTATCAGTCCTATTTTCTGTTCTCCCACACTCAGGGAACTACAACAGATTTGTTTTCTACTTTTACCTTGAAAATATGCCCATCTCTTTTCTCTTTAATTTCTTTAGCTTGAACACAATGAGACTATTAAAGTCTTGGCTATTGTTACCTGCCTCATGGGTACCACTGATGGAGTGGGGTGTTCTCAGCATCCCTTAGTTTCACCAGAGGCTCCATTCACACATTCTCTGTGCCTTGAGGATGAAGGATGGCAGGGGGCCAAGGGAATAAGTTTCTCTTCCCTCAGAAGAGAAACACACTGCTTTTGGGGAATGATTTCTGGAAATTTCTTTACCCAAACTATGCCCTGCCTCCAGAAAACTATAGATTAAAATACATTGCAAACAAATGGGACTGGTGAAACAGTGTTGAGGAACAGGCACTGGGAAATTCCCTAGTGGTTCAGTGGTTAGTCGCTCAGAAGTGTCCGACTCTTTGTGACCCTATGGACCATAGTCCACCAGGCTCCTCTGTCCGTGGGAATCTCCAGGCAAGAATACTGGAGTGGGGTGCCATTTCCTCCTCCAGGGGATCTTGCTGACCTAGGGATCAAACCCAGGTCTCCCGCATTATAGGCAGATTCTTTACCGTCTGAGCCACCAGTGAAAGTGACATCTTGGGCTTCCCAGGTGGCACTAGTGATAAAGAATCCGCCTGCTGATGTAGGAGATGCAAGAGACATGGGTTTGACCTCTGTGTAGGGAAGATCGCTTGGAGGTCATGACAACCCATTCCAGTATTCTCACCTGGAGAATCCCCATGGACAGAGGAGGCTGGCGGGCTATGATCCATAGGGTCGCAGAGTTGGACATGACTAAAGTGACTTAGCATGCACGCCAGTGGTTATGACTGAGCACTTTCACTATGTTGTGGCCTGGGTTCAATCTCTGGTCAGGCCCAGCCAAAAAAATAAAAAGAAGTAAAACAAGCAGTCTCACGGTCCTTCTGTTCCAGTTATTCCAGTCTGTGCCTCTAGGCCAAGCAGGAGCTGGGTAAGGACAACCAGCCTGGCACTGGGGCAGCCTGAGCTGAGGTGAGCTCTCCTGGGTTGGGTCTAGGGTCTAGTTTAGATCATCTTTTAGTGCATTTACCAGCTCCCACCCCATCTTCTATATAGCCTTCCCTGTCTCTGACCTTCAGAGGGATAGAGAGAGAAAAAGCAAGAGAAGAGAGAATGCATAAGTAGAAATGCAATAGAGTGGCTGAAAATGAGACACTCCATTATAAGAGGAAATTGTTCATGTTCAGAGCAATTTTTTCAAAACCAAACAATTCTCTTTAAATAGCAAGCTTGAGGATGTACAAATAGCACTCTCATGAAATCAGCTCTAAGTGGCTTCAGAGAATTATGCGTGGAGTCTCAATTTGTCTTATCTATGGGCTCGTAAATCTCATCCCCATTAAAGGACCATCAGGTATACAGGTTGTTAATGGTGATGTGTGCCCATAGAAGTCTCCGTCAAAAGCTCTGCTGGGTCACTCCCACTCCACCCGAGCCAACAGAATTCACTTTTTGCTTTTAGAAAAATAAATAAAAGTTGCTTTCAGAGAAGAGTGCTTCTAGCTGTTTCATCAACCAGTTCTCTTGGGGGCATATGGAACATTTTATGTTTGAAAGGAATCTGAGGTGCGTGCAACATCCTACGTTCATCTCACAGTGCAGACAGAAAGGGCTTATCCCGGAGTCCTAGGCCCCTGGTTGTTTCTTCACATTGTGCCTGAAGAGCTCTTTGTTCCCTCTTGACTGGTGGCTGCAGATGAAAGTGAAGTCTGCACTGGACTGTTGAGAGGGCTGCAGGCCCAGCTCGGCTGGGAGGGACTGACCAGCAAGAGGAAGGCAAGGCTGCCAAGGCCTGGACACCTGGGGAGAATCGGGTGTCAGAAATGGATTCTTTCCTTCCTCCCTTCTCTCTCCACATTTACTGCATGGCATGTAGGATCTTAGTTCCCCAACCAGGGATGGAACCCATGACCCCTGGAGCGGGAGCTCAGAGTCTTAACTGCTGGACTGCCAGGGAAGTCCCTACTTGGCCACTCTTAAAAGGGATAAAGGAGATCAGTATGACACAATGGCCAAATATGTTATGTATAATAAAAGGAGCCACTGACAGTAGGAAGAGTTTGATACAATTTTTATAAAAACACATTTTATGTATATTTACACAGATTTGTTTGCATAAGGAGTAAGTTACCAGTGGCTTCATCCCAAATTGTTGAGTTATCAATAAGTGGTGCAGAGATAACTGCATCTTCTTATGGAAAAAAATTAACCTTGATCTTATCTCACCCCTTGTACCCCAAAATGAACTTCCGGTGGATTGTCAATCTAAACATTAAAAGCAAAACAGTAAAGCTTCTAGAAGGTATTGTATTTGCAACTTTGGGAGTCATGGTTACACAGGTGTTTATTTTATAATATTTTGTTAAATTGTAAATCTGTTTCATGAACTCTTTTGCATATTCTATTTCATTATCCTCCCCCAAAAAAAGGTTAGAAGGAAGAGTTAGAATGCCTGGTACTTAATGTATCTGTTGAATGGTTTGGGGTAGGGGGGATGTGGGCAGAGGGTGTCATAATACCCCAAAGACTGTGACTCACAGGCTTCTCAATGCTGTCTGCTATGATGACGAATCCATTTTCTTCTTGGAAAAACCCCCTACCTTGGAAAACATACCACCAAAATAAAACTTAGGTACGAGAGACTGTCAGTGAATCCTCCTTAAGCTTCTAAGCTTTTTTTAACCTTGTAATCCTGAACTTGATAAGAAGTCAGAGGATAGGGTGAAAAAATAAGATTGGACTTCTTTTCATCCCCTTTGCAGTTTAAAATTCACTTGGAAAGAGCTTCAGAAAACATCATTTCCAATAGATAAGAATGCACAGATAAGGCAAAACCCAAGAGTCAGCAGTGAGGGGATGGCACCTCCAGCTGTGTTTCTCAGCTCTCCCTCTGACCTAGAAAAAGGCTTGTGGGAAACCAAGTAGGAAAAGACATGATTAATTCACGCACAAGTGGATTGAGGCCAACAGGATTCCTTACTGCCTTTCAGAGTCTTCCTGATGCCCGCCCTGGAGGCAGAAATTAACCAGGGTTATTCAGGGAACCAGACTTCAGTTGACAGCCTGGTGAGGAGAGGCAGAGACAGCAGCAGAGGGCCTTTAAAGGGAACACTGTTGGCTGGGACAAGAGTGAGATGAGATGCCCCCAGATTTTCTTCATCCCAACTGACATTTCCAGAAAACATGGTGGATGGTGGTGTGCGTGTCTGGATTGAGCTGCAGAGTGAAGAAGGAAAAGAAGTTAGTGTGGAGATCCTTCCTTAAACCTGAAGGTATTCACTATCTAAATAAGTCCAAATATCTTTTACTGAATCACACAGAAATGCCTGGACAGATCTCAACACATTTCAGAGATACATTTGGGGAGGTATAACTTAAAATATATAGGCTGCATGGGGTAAATGAAATTTGCTTTGGAGGACTTCAGGGACATCTTGAGGGGAGGGGGAATTTTTCTCCAGAGTAGCTGAAACTGAAGTTTAACTGGAGGCCTCAGATAGCGGCTCAACAGGCCATCTTATTGATACTAAGACCAGAAAGGAAGAGTGGTTTCAAATTCAAGCACCCTCCCACTGGCAGGCACTGACCTGACACCTGGAGGTATCTCAAAGGCAGGCCCCGGGATGAATGCAGCTGGTTATCTGTTAATTTGATTTGGAAGTGATTCTTCCAACTGGCACTATATGTTTCAGAATCACCTACACATTCATTTTCACTTAGAAGCATACCCCTCATATCCTAGCCACATTCCTGGAGAAGGGATTATTAATGGAAGCAGGAAATGAGGTCTTAAGCAATGAAAGAACTTGACCAAACAGCAACATCTGGCGATGTCCACAGACTCACAGGAGAGGGCTTCTGAACATTTCTCAAGCTGTGTGATTTAAGGGCATCATGCAGAGGCTAAGGAGAGGTACTGGGACGTGCCAGGGAGAAATGCTTCTTTCTGAAACTCAGGATCTGACCATGATCCCAAACCTTTTTGCTTCCGGAGCCTCAACTCATTTCAGCAATTTGTCCTTAATGAAGAGACTGTATTGTTTCCACTAATGAGCTCCCAGGATGGCAAAAATCCCATGGGCAAACTTACTGTAGGATTGTTAGCATTTCTTTTCACAGAGGTTCTGTCCCCATTGGGCCAGCTCCCAACAGGCCCCCTGGTGCATGACTGGCCTTGTCCTTCTCCATATCTGCATCGTGCAAATGTCCACTGCAGATGGACAACAGCCATGGAGTGATGTACTTGGCTCTCCAGAGCTATTGTTCATGAAGGGACTTAATACAGCTTATGTGATGAAACAGCAGCCTCTGCTCTATGTTAATCACTCTTAGAAAAATACTTAAGTTCCTGTTTGGGAGGAAATGATAGTAAAATTTAGGTAGACCACCATTTGTCCTCTGGAAGCTTCCAACAAAATTACTTGTTATTAAAGACAAATGTGTTCAGGTGGATCAGCTCGCAGAGTTAGAAAATAAAATGCAAAGCTGGGTGTGAGACAGTGTGAGACAACCTCAGGTGGCCCAAAGGAGAGCCCAGGCAGGAGTTCCCTCCCAGGCCTCTGGTCCTGGATTTTCTCCAGACAACCACAGGTAGTTCTTATGTCAGTGGGTGATGAGGAAACCAAAGTCTGGATTATTCACAGAGACCTGGGACCCCAGCAGAGAATTCAGTGGCAGGATAAACCGGCAGGTGCAGCCTCAGCTGCTAATCCCACAATCCCTCAGAAAGACCGAAGCATCATCTCAATGCTCCTTAAGCTTAGGTGTTCAGGTGGACTTTCTAAAGAGCTCTGACCCTGCGGGGAAGTCAGGAGCAGCAAATCGATAATGGTGATTAATAGGAAGCAGTCATCGAAGGCCAGATTTGACCCCTGAAAGCAGCAAGGTCAGCGTCTTCCTAGTTATTCCCTGAGGCTGGAGTTTACAGAGGACATGACCCTCAGCCCAGACTGCGCTGAGAGATCAGAGAGCCTGAACAGCGGTGAGGGGGCTGGGTGCCTCCCAAAGAGCCCCTCTCTCAACTGCAGCGGTCTGGGAGCCCAGGAAAGGGCGCTCAAACGGATGAGAAAGGAGTACATCCCCCCAGGGTCTCGTCCTAGTCTGATGAGCAGAGAGCCGACTGGGGGCCTGCAGAGGGACCGGTCTAGGTTCACGGCCAGCGCTGAGCCCCTCGGGAGGGAGGCTGTCTAACACGCTGCTCACCATGCCCCCGCCTCACCAAGCATCGTGGGCCTCCGGCCCTGGCCAAGGGGCACACTGACCCCTAGAGTGGGCCTTCGAGGGGGCCTGGCTGCCGCACTGCTCTCCCTCTTCCCGGCCGAGACACCTGCCGTTCAGCTTCTGCATCTACACAATGAAAACGCAGCTACCTCCCTCAGGGCTGGGGCTCACCGTGTCCGTCCATGGAAAGCCTGGTCAGTGCCTCCCATCTGCGGCACGCTGCAGAACCGTTCGGGCCTGACCTTCTGTATGGCTCCGGGAACCCTGCTGAGCGCTCTGTGGTCACCTACATGGGAAGGCAATCTGACAACGGGGGGATGTATGTATATGTTATTGGGGCTTCCCTGGTGACTCAGTGGTACAGAATCTGCCCACAATGCAGGAGACGCAGGAGGTGCAGGTTTGATTCCTGGGTCAGGAAGACCCCCTGGAGGAGGGCATGGCCGCTCACTGCAGTGTTCTTGCCTGGAGAATCCCATGGACAGAGGAGCCTGGGCTCACAGTCCCTGGGGTCACAAAGAGTTGGACACGACTAAAGCAACTGAGCACACGTCTATGTGTAGCTGATTCACTTTGCTCTACAGAAGAAACAAAAACACATCATTGTAAATCAGCTATACTCCAATAAAAATTTAAAAAAATCATTTAGACCTAAGAATCCACACCAGCAAATGCGGGGCTCACTCCAAGCCAGCACTTGACACCTGCCCCCTGGCTTTGCACAACACCAATTAGAGCAGCAATACCTTTGTTTTTGAAACACTTAAAAAAAAAAAATCCACTTCCTGGACTCCCATTAGGATCCTCTTCTCCTCTTCCCAACCCCATATGTGGAGTGCTCGGCTTTGGGTCAGATCTGCTTTGCTCCTGAAGCCACCAGCCCCCTAGATGATCCCATGCGGCCCCATGACCATAAACACGTTTCACATCAGGGGAAGGCAGGGTCAGAAGACTCAGATACTCTACTGCCCACAGGACAGGTATGCTTGGATGGACCTTGCTATGGTTGGGTTTTCCAGAAACACACTGAGACGGAGCTTGGGATGCAAGAGGCGTATTAGAGATGGCCTGTGAAAGGGAGTGGGAGGAGGCAGGGCAGGGCAGAGGGAGGTGAGCTCTGAGGCTGACAACCCAGTGTGACGTGGGAGTTGTGCAGTGAAGACCGCCCACCGGTGGTGTCTTGCATCAGACTCACCTTGCTCAGTCCCTGATGCAGGCTGCCCCGGGAAGGGTGTAATTAGGAGTGCTCTGCCGCCTGAGATTCGCCGGAAGTGGTGGCCAGGTGCAGGCTATTTGCTGAGTACCCTTTCACAGCTGGGTAGCAAGGTCCTCCTCCAAAGGAAGCTGGGCAGGAGTCACCAGGACTGCCACAGCTTGTGCAGGGGCCATTGCAAACTCGGCAAGTCCACAACCAACCCTGGACTTCTCCCTGCCCCCAACCTATACTCTCCCACCTTTGTGTGTGTGTGTGCTGGGTCTTAGTCACGGCATGCAAGGTCTTCGATCTTCACTGCACAGCATGTGGGATCTTTAGTTTTGGCATGTGAACTCCTAGCTGTGTAGTGTGGGATCTAGTTCCGATCAAGGATCGAACCTGGGCCCCCTGCATTGGGAGCATGGGGTCTTAGCCACTGGACCAGCAGGGAAATCCCCTTGTCTCCCATCTTTTTAATCTCAGAGTGGCCAAGAGTCCTAGCACTTTGCTGAGGCCAAATCCCCAAGTCTCAGAATTGACTCTTACCTTCCTCAAATGTCCATGGTCAGTCCACGCACAAATCCTTTCAGCTTTACATCCAAGATCTATCCAGATTCCAACCACTCCTCACTTCCTTCACACTGCTCCCTGTTCAGCCACACCCCAGACTGTCCCCTGTGGTCAGTGGCTAGAGCCCAGTAGCCCCTCCTACCAACTGGTCCCTCTGTTCATCCTTCCTGATCTATTTTCTACAATCAAACTGGGTGATCTTTTAAAAATATAGTCAGACTGCCTCATACACCTGCTCAAAACCAGTCAGTGGCTTCATGTTCAGGATGACATTAAAAAATCAACCTGTTACCAGGACCCAGAAGTGCTACATCATTTGGACTCGGTCTCTCTCTTCCATGTCATCAACCTTACTCTTCCCACGTGCTACTCCACTCCTCTCTCCCCTCTCTAAAGCTGTGGTACCAACACAGGAGACATCACACACAAGGGGTCACTGGGCGCTGGAAATGTGGATATTCAGACTAAGATGTGCTGGTATGAGTGTCAAACATTGGATTTTGAAGACTTGGTATGAAAAATAAGAATGAAAAGGTTCAGACTTCCCTGGTGGTACAGGGGACAAGAATCCGCCTGCCAATGCAGGGGACATGGGTTCGATCCCTGGCCTGGGAAGACTCCACGTGCCTTAGAGCAGCTAAGCCCATGTGCCATAACCACTGAACCTGAGCTCTAAGGCCCACGAGCCGCAATTACTGAGCCTGTGTGTCACAATTACTGAAGCCCACAAGCCAAGATCCCACGCTCTGCAACAAGCGAAGCCACCACAATGAAAAACCCACACATTGCAACAAAGAGTAGCCCCTGCTCACCACAACTAGAGAAAGGCCTGTGCAAAAGTAACGAAGACCTAGTGGAGCCAAAAAAAAAGTTTCTTAATTTTTTTAATAGTGATTATGTTGAAATGACAGTAGCTTGACTGTACTGGGTTACTAAGTTGGCTCTTCTTTGTTTTTAAAAATACTCTTTAGAAAATTAAAATCACATATGTGCCCTGTGTCTTGTTTCCATTGGACGGTGTTACTCTACACCAGGGGTTGGCAAACTATGGTCTGTGGTCTAAATTCTGCTCACTGCCTGTTTCTGTAGGGCCTGTGAGCCAAGTCCAGTTTTTACATTTTTAAATGGTTGAGAACAGAAGAATAGTAATTCATGACATATGAAAATTATATGAAGTTCAAAATTCAGTGTCTGGAATGGAGTTTTATTGGAGAAAAGCCATATTCGCTTGTTTCCGGATTGTCCATGGCTGATTCTGCACCACAGAAGCACAGCTGAGTGGTTCCAAGACAAACATCCTGACCCATAAAGGCAAAATTAATTACTCTCTGGCCATTTCTAGAAAAAGCTTGTCAACCCCTGCTCTACACGCTTAGCTTACTTTACCTTTCTTCATAGAAAAATACTGCCTCTCCTGTTAATATGATAACCTTGGCAAAAGCATGTACTTTTTTCTTCTTTGTTCCGTGAACTGCTGTCAGCACCTACAACAGGGCTCTGGCACATATTAAGTGCTCTATAAATATTTGCTGAATCAATACATTTTAAAAAAATCTACATTTCGGGGGCTGTGGAGGAAGCACCTCGTTAATTAAAGGACATGATTCACTACTACTATGACCTACTTTCTGTTTCTTGGTAGGTCAAGCTAAGGTTAATTAAGACCCAGGCAAACCAACACATAATGAAAGGAAATGCTGACACTTGGCCTGGTAACCCACTGGGCTTGGAGACAGAGACCAACACTGAAGTAAGGACAATATGCTTCAAAAAAAAAAAAATGCCTTAAGTCATTTTAATAAATGCCATGATTTTTTTTTAATGCTTTCTCCCCTCCTCTTATAGAGGAGAGGTAAAGCTGTCCCAGTTATCAAAAAATTCAAATCTCTTCTTCTTCACTGGGCTGCCCGTCAATGTGCTTTCATCCAGCGTGTCTCCCGTGTCCTGGGAACCTGGATCAAAGGACTCTGCTGCCTCCAGGAGCTCCATGTCGCTTCCGTCTTCCTCGAAGGACTTCTGGAATAGGTCGTAGATCTGCTGCTGCTTTGAGTCCTTCATCAGAGGGAGAAAAGACATGAGTACCCAGGCAGTAACATTGACTTTTCCTCCACCTCTGTGGGCCCAGCTCAGTAAACTGTTTATCACTCGAGCAGCCTTACTGCCTTCATGTCTAGCTTCCTCTCTGCTGCTTGTTGGGAAAAAAGAAAAAGAAATGGTTGTGAAAACAACAAAGGACCTGCTCTCACACTAATTTATGTTGGGAATGCGTCTCCCTTCTAACTTTACAAATCACTATTTCAATGAAAGAGCTCCCAAATTCTCACTTCCTCCAAGGCCTTTTTTCACTAAGAGGTTAGTTAAACTGCTAAGTCAACTGCCAAATCAGTGTGTTCAGCCATGGTTTATACCCGATTTTCAGAGTGGTTAACATATTGATAAGTAGATACATGCACCCATTTCGGACTACTCTGAAGTTACAATGATTACAACTGTGCCTCTGTGTTGATGACAACAGTGTAGTGCTAAAGTCACACCCCGTGGTTACTACCACAACATATGATGCGCTCGTTCTCACCCCTCTGCTGATCTCTTCTGTCTCAACTCCCAGCCCTGACCATCATTCAACCCAGAGGCACATATTCAGTGTCTCCAGTGACCTCCCACAGGTCCATAAAACCAAACCTGTCTAAAAACCACAGCCGTCTCTCACCTCAGTCCTACATCTCCGAACCAGCTCCTGTTCGCTCGTTTTGATGGTCTCCCACTTCTCACCCAGTCCCCCCAGGCTTGTGATCACCGGGGTGTCCTGATTCCGTGTCTCACACATCAAGGTTGTCTTCTCCCTCTGACCCCTCCTAGGTACCTCGCAGGCAGTTTGTTTACTTGGGCCACGTGGCTCTGTACCTGCTGGGACCTGACATGGCTTCACCGCACTTCCTGCCTCAGGCCTCTTCCCATATCACGGGCCCACAGGTCCGGCCCAGGCCTGATCTTTCCCTCTAGACCGCCCTCTGCTAAGATTCTCCTGTCACATCACTGGGCACCCTGCGTCTACCTTGTCAAGTCTGCTTCTCTGGCTTTCCAGGCCCTTTGTAGTCAGGTCTCAGCCTAATTGGCCACTTTCTGTGCTTTCATGAAAGCCTTCCACGTTGGTGACGCCGAGTTCTCGAAAACTGATCCTGCAGGGACTCTAGATTATTCAGTAACCTGTGCCCTACATTCGCGCGCCATTCAGGGTCC